GGGGCTTCCCCAGGGGCAGAGCTCTGGCCTGAGGCAGCCTCTGAAGACCTTCCTTGGAGGTCCACAGGAACTCTGCAGAGACCCTTTCTTAGACTGCTTGGAGGTGGGTGAGTCCCCAGATGCAATGAAACACTTGAACACAGTGTGTGTGTGTGTGTGTGTGTGTGTGTGTCCTTCTCATGCGGGCTTTGGGAGCCTGTGTGTTTGGTGGGCAGTAAGTCCTTCCCAAGCAGCTTTTGGTTATGGTGTTTTATCACAACAATAGATTCCCTAACTATGACACAATCCATCCATCTACTCGGTCGATCATGTACGGAGTCCTATTTCTTCATTCCCCCCACGAATTTTATTCATTTATTCCACAACTCATTCATTCCCCTGTCCTCCAGTCAGTGAGCATGGACAGAGCTCTGCATTCGCAGAGAAGGGAGTCAGGCAGACCTGGTCCCTGCAGGGACAGAGCAGGGACAACATGCTTGGGTGCTAGGGGCTGGGGGTGGGAAGCCCAGGAAAATTTGGGAGGAGGAGACCCCTTGAGCAGGTCTAGAGGAGAGAGGAGACCAGTGAGCAGATCCAGGAAGGTGTTGGCCTAGGGAACCTGTGGGGCAGTGTGACTGCCTGGCACGAAGGAGATGAGGCTGGACACCAGTCACCACCTAAGGGAAGCATATTCCCAGGCAATCAAGCAAAGTATACTACTGAGGCAGGCAGCCTTGCTTGTTTGTTTTTGTTTTTTTGTTTTGTTTTGTTTTTCAGGCTAGGCAGGTGCAGGCTCCAGGGCAGGGCCACCTCCTGCTGCTGCTGCTGCTGCTGTGGGTCGCTGGCTCTTGAGGCAGGACATGGACCCCAGGCTCCCAGAGGAGTGTGGAGGTGGGTCTGAGGCCAGGGAGATGCTATCCAGAAGAGGAGGATGTGGAAAAGGGATGGTCGTTCTCCCTGTGATAAAACACCGTAACAAAGAACAGGGTTGAGGGGTACAGCTAGAGCAGGGGCCAGAAAATGGGGAGAACTCAGAATAGAGAATCTGGGGAGTGGGGTTTCCAGATTTAACAAATAAAAACATAATACTGTCAGATAAGCTGAAATTCATGGAGGTGATAAGTAATTTCTAGTATAAATGTATTTCATGAGATATTTGGACCATACACGGAAATGTCCATTGTCTATGTAATAAGATCCAGTGCTACTGGGCATCCTGCATGTTATCTGGTAACCCTGTGGGGACAGGTTGAGTCTGAGAGGCTGGGGAACTGGCTAAAGACAGCAGGGGGCTGTCAGAGGAGAGCATAGAGAAGAGGTCCCTGAAGTTTGCCATGTAAGGGTTGACAGTGGCATTGGTGAGTAGAGTGGTCAGTCACTTTTTAGGTTGTGATGTGCACATGGTTTATGCATGCATATATATGGTGTATTGTATGTGTCTGATGTGTGGTATGTATATGGCTCGTGATATGTGGTATGTATAATGTGTACAGTGCCTGTGCAGTAAATGTGGTATCTTAGGGTTTCTATTGCTGTGAGGAGACACCATGACCAAAGCAACTTGGGAGGAAAGGGTTTATTCGGCTTATGCTTTCACATCACAGTTCATCATCGAAGAAAGTCAGGACAGGAACTCAAACAGGGCAGGAGCCTAGAGAGGCAGGAGCTGCTGCAGAGGTCATGGGGGGTGCTGCTTACTGGCTTGTTCCTCATGGCTTGCTCATCCTGCTTTCTTATAGAACCCTAGACCATCAACCCAGGGATGGCCCCACCCACAGCAATCACTAATTAATCACCAATTTAAAAAAGCGCTCTACAAGCATGCCTACAGCCCAGTCTTATGAAGGCATTTTCTCAGTTGAGGCTACTTCCTCTCAGATGACTCTCTAGCTTGTGTCAAGTTGACCTAAAATTAGCTGGCATGTGTGGTATGTGTATGGTATGTGATGTGTATGTGGAGTATATTTTGTGTATGTGGAATTAGTGTGTATGTCTTATGTGTGTGATGTATTGTGGTATATCTGGTGTGTGTGTGTGTGTGTGTGTGTTGTTTGACTGTGGGTGTGCGGTATGTTTCTGTGCTGTGTTGTGTGTTTCTGGTATGAGTGGTATTTTTATGGTACATGGGGGATATGATGTGCCATGTTCCCTGTTGCAGCCTGTTGTGTAAGAAGGACAGGCCCAGCATCAGCCAGCAGGGAGCCCCCTTACTGCCAAAGGCTGTCTTCCACCCACTATCCCCAAGAGGGTCTGGGAGCAGTATAAGGACAAGACAGAATGGCACCAGAATACCAGAAAAGCAGGGAGTGTTTAGCTGGTGGTGGTGAGGGTAGCAGCTGTTCCAGGCCAGCCTAGGAATCTGGGGCAGAGCCACTCTGGCACCCAGCCCTCCCAGTTCCAAATCTAGTTCTTTTTCCAGGTGCTCCATAGCTACTGCCGGTCTCCACGGATTCTTACACTGCAGCAGGCACTATGCTCTCACCATACATCATTTTGCCAGTGCCACAGTAGCCCTACAATCTCCACCACACAGGTGGGGCCCCCGAGCTGCTGCTTTGTGAACACTTTGGGCCAACAGCAACTCCGCAGGAGCAAGGTTGGGTTGCTTATAATGTCTGTGTCACCTCAGCAGGATCCAGTTCACATCTTCAGGAGAAATGGAAGCTGGAGGACCTGGTTCTTCAGGCTCACCTAAGCAAAACTTACTGACACCCATCACTAGCTGCGCACTTGCTTTGAAGATAGGGCCTTTGCTACCTGCAGCTCCTGAGCCCAGGGCATTTTTGAGGAGCCCTCCCCTTCCTGGAAGAACAGACTTCAGCCCACTGAAGCCCCGGCTCAGATTAATTGCCTCTTGCTTCTACAGGTCTAACTTCCCTTCCATTCTTTGTCAGCTCCAGCTCAGTTTGGATTCTGGGTGCTCCAGCCAGTGCATGATAGTCCTGGGCCTCTACCACAACTCACTAGGGTGCAGAGATGAGAAGCCCATCTAGTTTGTTTGCAAGACGAAAGATGGAGATCCTGAGTCCCCAGCTGTAGGAGGCAGAGAGAAGGGCACCCCCACTGTGCCCTCTCTCCACAGTCCTTGGCTCTGGAACCTGGCAGAGTTTCTTTGTGGGACTTGCTGCATTCTGGAATCAGGAGGCCTTGAAATAACATGTTTTCCGGAAAAGTACCTTCCTTAGAGGAAACCACTTGTTCCAAGGAATAGAAAAGGGTCATTGTGTCTTGCCAGGTCCCCATTCCTGAGGTCATGACACTTGAAAAGGCAGGCACAATTGGAGACATAGAGGCCTGCAGCCACGCCACACTCCCACCCAGATGCCCCCATCCAGCACACCTGCAGTTAGAAGTGCCTTAAATGCCAACAGGAGGGACTGACTGGCACACCCTAGCGTGGCCATAATGATTCTCATTAGGCAGGCTCCAAAACAATGAGGTGAGTTTAAACTCCACACAAGAGATCATTCATCACTTATTAGCAAGCAAGAAGTAGAGTGGTTTGGAGGACCGTACAGCTGTGTGGTAAAACTCGACTTTTGGTAGATTACACTTCTCTGCATAGAAGATGTGGAGAACTCCAGGCTCTGGTGAACCACTGTCTGGGTGAGTGAGGCTGTGGTGAACCACTGTCTGGGTGAGTGAGGCTGTGGCTTTCATCTTAAGCAGCCCCCAAAGACCTAGGTAGTAGAAGCTTGCTCCCCAGGGCATTACGACTGGCAGATGGCAAATCCTTTAAGAGGCGCTTGTGTGGCTGGGAACGTGTTTTTGAAAGGCACAGTGGGACCTGGGCTTTTCTTCATCCCCTATTACATATGGGTGGTTTTGTTCCACCATGAGGTCAGGCCTCAACACAACACAGGCCTAAAAGCAACAGTGTTGACAGCTCTCACAGGACTGGACTCTTTCAACCTGTGAGCCTTCTTTTTGAGTCTGAGACTCACTCTGTGGCCCAGGAGGGGCCTTTAACTCTCGATTCTTTGCTTTGGTCACCTGAGTCCTGGGATTACAAGCATGACACCACACCCAGCTCTGAGAAGGGTTTAGGAAGACTGCAGAGATACAAGGAACTGTATTGAACTCGCTAGCCTGTGAGAGAGGCTTGACTGTGTCTGCCTGGCCCCCATGCCTTCTGAGACAGGGCATTAATCTCAATTCCAGGTCTCCAGTTGTATGCGTAAGAACCTAGTGGGGCAGCTCCCTGTGTACCCTGGTTGTGGAGGAAGTAATAGAGCCCACTGCTAGGATGTTCCTTGTGTCTGCTTCTAACTTCCACACAAGGCCTTTCCAGCCGCCAATAGCCTTCATCTAGGAAGCTAGGGCTGTTATGTTTCAGAGGTGCCCTGTCCTTCTGGGATCTGGGAACCTTGGCAGCCACAGATAAAGGTGGTAATTTCAGTGTCAGTTAACTTACCCCACTTGTCTTCACTGTCCTTGCAAAGAGCTGGCCAGCCCTCCCTCCCTTCCATGCCCCAGGGCCAGAGGATGCTCCTCATATACAGACCTGGACTCCTAGAAGCTTCGGGGAGGCCTCTGTGCCCACCTTCTAACTCCTGGTGTCTTAGTTGGTAAATAATGTTCTCCTGAAATGTCCACGGCTTACTCCCCAGCACCTA